CAAAAATGTAAATATTACAGAACTTAATGTAGAAAGTATAAAAGCCACATTTTATAATTTAATATCCAAAATAAGTGATTAGTAGTTGTCACTATAGTAAATAACGACTCTTTCATCTTAGAAAATTACAGTTTCAAACAGTAAAAATTGCCATTTTAATATCTAGTCCATATTATGAGGAGAAGGGGAACTCCGATGAAAGAGAAGGGGGTCTCGCTCTGGGAGAATTTAACATTTGAAACAGTAAAAATTATACTTTTAAAATATACATTTTACCAGTTCAAGCAAGTCAATAATTACAGTTTGATTTTTAGCGTTGTGTTTAAAATTTACCATTTTACTTTGTAAATATTGACGTTGCTTGTATTAGAAATTTACTAACTTTACTTTATAACTTTTTACGTATCATAAGATCATTTTTTAGGTACGAAATGATAAATATTAAAGTCTGAATTCTTAATTATTATACTTTAACATTTTAGACATTCACATAGCGAATATTACTGTTTGAAATAGTATTTTCTTCCATGTAAAGAGTAAATTCTAACGTTTAAATTGTAAATATTACAATGTGAATAGTAAAATCATGATTTTGCTGTTTGAAATGGTAATTTTTAGCAGTTGATCATTACTTATTATAAATCGACTGTTATTTATTACAGTTTACTTTTTTCCGTGTAGTACAAACTAATATTTATAGAAGAAATAAAAATTTCATAGGAATACTTACGATCAAATGTTAATTTATCAGCATCGTTTATTAAATGATAATCGCCAGTAGCCGTTGGTGGTTTAAGATAACTTTTCTCTATCATTGCCGGAGACCAAACGACTGGCACCAAGGTGCAAAGTCTTTTTTTCATAGTTGGTTGACGCAATCCATCTGTTAACTGGGTACTTGTGAATGCCACGCCTTGAATTTTTGTAATCTACATAAATAAAAAAAAATCAGTTTTTTAGTGTTTATAATTCAATAAAATCTCATACATATAATCATAACGAACCAATCCACTCAGGCAATTCTTACCTGTTCTCCGTTTTCAATTACGATGGATTCTTCCAAATTAACCGTATTTCCAACAAATTTTTCATCGTTTTTATTTATTTTTATGACCTCTTCAATTTGTTCTTCCATGCGTATCATTCTTTGCTCTGCTCGTCTCCGCCAACCTATTCCCTTTATTCCTTGCATTTTCTTGCGTCGGATTAATGTATTTTCCATTCCTTTTGAAGCTTCAGATTTAATAGAAAGATCCGAACCATCTCGATTCGGAGTGTGATCATTACTTTCTAATAATCCATTTTGAATATTTCCTAATGGTCGTCTTTCATTTATTTCGATCGATGATTTTGTCTCAGCTTCTTCATCCTGCGAATAATATTCAAATTATTATCTAAAACATAAACTTATAAATTTCATGGTAAGACTAACAGTCGAAGAATCACCTTTCAAAATTTGCTAAGACAACATATTAATAGATCATGAGATATTTAATCAGTTAAAATTTTAAAGAACTATAAAAAACAAAAATAAAAAGACATAAATTAATAAGATATATTTCTTCAAATTTTTTAAGATTTCTTTATTATAGTAAGGTAAAAGCCCCAGTATTTGTTCACTATTTGAGTGAGTTCAAGAAAGCATTACATTAAAATTATGTTTATTTATTAAAACTTTAATTTTTTTTTCTTCAAATATTTTTTTAAGCTCTTAAATACAAAATATCTAAGCTGTTTCACGATTCAATTAATCCAATTAACAATATTGATTTGTTTAAAAAAATTTGCCGATGACCCCTGTGCCTGCTCAGGAAAAAATATTAATTATAATTTATATAATTATTTCTTTATTAATAATTTATGTTTATTATTCATGTTTGCGATTTATATAATTAATAAAATTAATAATAATATTTTATTTCTGGCGTTAGTTATTTAAAATTTTTTTGAATGTTACTTAATGTCCCGCACAAGCACAAACTGCTTGAATTGACGGTGACAGTTAGAAAATTATTTCATTGATTTTTATAAATAATATGAAACGTTTCCTACCCCGAAGGGAGGGAAACGGTTATTTCAGGTCTTGCCAAAGGCTTGACCTGAGCAAGTCCTTGCCGTCTCAAATCGGAGTATGTACTGACGACTCACGGACCTTGGCGGTACGTGCTACCCGGCACCATGGAAACCATAGTCGCGAGGGGGGAGATTTCCCCTTCTTGAGCCTCGATTGAGGCCTAAATTCGATAACTTTGGGTAAATATGCACGAAAGATAAGGTAGGTAATCTCCGATAGGTCAAGCCTTTGGCAAGACCTGAAATAACCGTTTCCCTCCCTTCGGGGTAGGAAACGTTTCATATTATTTATAAAAATCAATGAAATAATTTTCTAACTGTCACCGTCAATTCAAGCAGTTTGTGCTTGTGCGGGACATTAAGTAACATTCAAAAAAATTTTAAATAACTAACGCCAGAAATAAAATATTATTATTAATTTTATTAATTATATAAATCGCAAACATGAATAATAAACATAAATTATTAATAAAGAAATAATTATATAAATTATAATTAATATTTTTTCCTGAGCAGGCACAGGGGTCATCGGCAAATTTTTTTAAACAAATCAATATTGTTAATTGGATTAATTGAATCGTGAAACAGCTTAGATATTTTGTATTTAAGAGCTTAAAAAAATATTTGAAGAAAAAAAAATTAAAGTTTTAATAAATAAACATAATTTTAATGTAATGCTTTCTTGAACTCACTCAAATAGTGAACAAATACTGGGGCTTTTACCTTACTATAATAAAGAAATCTTAAAAAATTTGAAGAAATATATCTTATTAATTTATGTCTTTTTATTTTTGTTTTTTATAGTTCTTTAAAATTTTAACTGATTAAATATCTCATGATCTATTAATATGTTGTCTTAGCAAATTTTGAAAGGTGATTCTTCGACTGTTAGTCTTACCATGAAATTTATAAGTTTACAAAATCATCGATCGAAATAAATGAAAGACGATCGTCGCGACCATTAGGAAATATTCAAAATGGATTATTAGAAAGTAACGATCACACTCCGAATCGAGATGGTTCGGATCTTTCTATTAAATCTGAAGCTTCAGAAGGAATGGAAAATACATTAATCCGACGCAAGAAAATGCAAGGAATAAAGGGAATAGGTTGGCGGAGACGAGCAGAGCAAAGGATGATACGCATGGAAGAACAAATTGAAGAGGTCATAAAAATAAATAAAAACGATGAAAAATTTGTTGAAAATACGGTTAATTTGGAAGAATCCATCGTAATTGAAAACGGAGAGCAGGTAAGAATTGCCTGAGTGGATTGGTTCGTTATGATTATATGTATGAGATTTTATTGAATTATAAACACTAAAAAACTAATTTTTTTTTATTTATGTAGATTACAAAAATTCAAGGCGTGGCATTCACAAGTACCCAGTTAACAGATGGATTGCGTCAACCAACTATGAAAAAAAGACTTTGCACCTTGGTGCCAGTCGTTTGGTCTCCGGCAATGATAGAGAAAAGTTATCTTAAACCACCAACGGCTACTGGCGATTATCATTTAATAAATGATGCTGATAAATTAATATTTGATCGTAAGTATTCCTATGAAATTTTTATTTCTTCTATAAATATTAGTTTGTACTACACGGAAAAAAGTAAACTGTAATAAATAACAGTCGATTTATAATAAGTAATGATCAACTGCTAAAAATTACCATTTCAAACAGCAAAATCATGATTTTACTATTCACATTGTAATATTTACAATTTAAACGTTAGAATTTACTCTTTACATGGAAGAAAATACTATTTCAAACAGTAATATTCGCTATGTAAATGTCTAAAATGTTAAAGTATAATAATTAATCATTCAGACTTTAATATTTATCATTTCGTACCTAAAAAATGATGTTATGATATGTAAAAAGTATAAGATACAGTTAGTTAATTTCTAATACAAGCAACGTCAATATTTACAAAGTAAAATGGTAAATTTTAAACGCAACGCTAAAAATCAAACTGTAATTATTTAATTGCTTGGACTGGTAAAATGTATATTTTAAAAGTATAATTTTTACTGTTTCAAATGTTAAATTCTCCCAGAGTGAAACCCCCTTCTCTTTCATCTGAGTTCCCCTTCTCTTCATAATATAGACTATATATTGAAATGGCAATTTTTACTGTTTGAAACTGTAATTTTTAAAGATGAAAGAATCGTTATTTACTATAGTGACAACTACTAATCACTTATTTTGGATATTAAATTATAAATTGTGGCTTTTATACTTTCTACATTGAGTTCTGTAATATTTACATTTTTGCCACCCCGATGTCCGCTTTACTGTTTGAAACTATAAAAACTTACCGGAATCCGAGTAAATATTACAGTTTACTTTTTTCCGTGTATGCACTGAAAAAAAAATTTCTTGACTGGAGTGTAAATTTTCTTGGCTCAAGAAAATATTAAGGAAGATTGAAAATTTCTTGAATGAAGTTAAAGTTTCTTGAGCCAAGAAAATTTTCTTGTGTCAAGAAAATTTTTTCTTACTCCAAAATAATTTTCGTTTTCCTTAAAATTTTCTTGGCGCAAGAAATTTGTTTTTTGTGGGTGTTATTCAACAAACGACACTTTCTCTTCTCGCTGAGCGATAAAAATTTCTTAAATAAGGAAAGTGACTGTTCTCATCCTATTTGTATTTTTTGTTTTAATTTTAGAATTATATCTGCATCTCCAACATCGCAGAAAAATTTTATTTAAAAAAGGAAGTTCTGATGATCTGGAAATATATTCCAAAACCTGGTTAGTTCGAAGATGCACCGAACTACGATCTGGACGGAGAAGTGAATAGAAGAAGTAGAAGACCAGAAAAAAAGAAATTTAACCATTATTACTATTACTATTACCATTACTATTACTATTATTTTTATTATTATTATTATTTAATTTATCCCAAAGACTAATTTATAATAATTTTAAAATTGAGGCCGGCAACGGCTCGGTCGGCTCGGTGCTCGCTTTTGGAAAGAGTGAGACCCGGGTTCGATCCCAGCACGCACCACTATTTTTCTAAAATATGTGCGTTACATGCTACATTGCCTGCCTCTGCAAGATAGTCGGCAGAGATAGCCGGGCGGCACACGTCTGACTTGGGCGATCACTCAGTTAAGCTACAACTTAACTAAGTGATGACCACTCTAGTCAGCGTTGGCTAGCCCGAGGGATCTCTGTACACTAGCCAGTTAGCCGAAAAAATCTAAAAATATAATTATTATTAATAATATAAGAGACTATAGAAATTAAAAATTTTTATGTTTGAAAAGTAATTTTCAAAAATTTGACATATTAAAATTGAAAAATTTCAATAATAATTATTTTCTTTTCATATTTTATATTATAAATTCGATTTCAATTATCTATTAACTATATTTAATATAATTATTTTATGTTATTTTTCCAAAATTTCCAAAATTCTGTATTGCTTTTTGTACTTGCATTTTGCCTGTTAAAAGGGATTTGTACTGCGGTGCTTAAATAAACAATTATTATTGTTATTATGCCAAATACTGTTGTTATTATTAATTTTATTAATGTTATAACAATTATATTTAAACAAATTAATATCAAATCTCAATATTAGTCCAAAATCTCGTCCAAAATGATTAAGATCTTAGCTCAAAATGATTAAGAAATCACGATAATAATACAGTCTACTCACAGCGATATTATTGTGATTTCACAAAAATTCTATAGTAAAACTGATGTGAAATCACTATAAAATCACAGTATTATTACCAAAAAAGCATGACTGAAACATTGCAGATCCAGGATCAACTGATGGTGAAATCATTGTAAATACACAGTAATATTATTGTCAACTCACAGCAATACTACTGTAAATTAACCGTAATACTATTGTGACCCTACTATAAACCGATGGTGAAATCATCATAAAATCACTGTTGGGTAATAATAAAATTACAGTGAATAAATGGCACAAAACCACAGTGATTTCACTGTCATTTTACCCTAAGTTCACTATCTTTCCACGATGATCCCACCAAAATTTCACCATGATTTACGAGTAATTCCGAGACCGCGAGGGCTATGAGTTTATTGTATGTCGTATTATACATATATACCTAATTATTTCAGATTAAATTCTTTTATTTTTTATGATAAATTGTGTTTTAAACTTTAAGTATATATCAATAAATAATTTTTTGTTAATCTGAACATTAAAATTTTTACTTTATAGTTTATTTTTTTTGAAGAAATAAATTAAAAAGAAAGAAAAATAAAATATATAATTAATAAGCTACTTATAAAATACGTAATTCAATTCTCTTTAAGTTATAACTTCTATTACTTCCTCTCACCCATAGTAATATTTTCATAAGAAGTTAATATAATTAAAATCTTTTTTATTTTAAATGATAAATTTTTCGTCTGTGAATTTTACTGTAAAGTTAAAAAAATCAAACAATGGAGAATACCAATTATCTTCATTTATACCACGAATATATTAATCCAAAAATAAACTGTTAAAAATAACTGTTTTTTTTCTCCATAAAATTGATCATATTTTAAAATATTAACAAATAATTTTATATTATTTTTACTACCTTTAAGTTTAATCAAAATACTACTGATAAAATAATAAAAATCAATTTTATTATTGAAAAGTGAATACAAAAATATACAATCTACGCAAGAAAATTTTGATTTATTTCATTTAAATATTAATTAAAGTAATAACGAATTATTTAATAATTATAATATTAATGAAAGTATTCTACAAAAGAATAAATCATGAGCATAAGCACGTCCCAGTACAGAATCTTTTAACATACACTACTAGATACCTCGCACCCAAGTTTCTGTAGTGTAGTGGTTATCACGTGTGCTTCACACGCACAAGGTCCCCGGTTCGAACCCGGGCAGAAACAATTAATTTTTTGATACATTTAATTACTGTTTTTTAAATTGACATTTGTTGTTTTATCAATAATTTATATTTTTTAATTTTTTCAGAAAAATATGTCACTGGGTTATAATGTATACATAGACTTTATTGTTAAAATTATAAAATTTTTTTTTACATTTCTAGTATGTATTGTTCGGCAAGCAATTTTTTATTCAATGACATAACATGAAATGATTTTATTGCACTGTTTGCTTTATTTAAAAATCCGAACAAAAACAGTTTCACTGTAAAAAAATTGCGCCAAGTCCACGTTCATAAAACTCATCTCAATAACATTTGCACTTTACAAAAAAAATTAGGCTCGTTTTAATAATTTTCATTCTCTACAAAAAGTTGTGAAATACAAAAAAATACCAAGAAACCGTCATAATGTTGAAAAAATTGAAAAAAAATTTGTTGAAAATTAAAAAATTAAAAAAAAAATTTTTTATCGTACTTGGCGCGCGTCATTGAGTACCCCAAATTTTTTCAGGATAAATATGTTGGGTAAACATCCTTTTAATGTTGAGAAATTTATAAGTAAGTGAACATATATTATTTGATAATAAGTTTTACAAAAGTTAGGTAAAATCGACATGTCATACGCAGTTATGCAAACTACATACAATTCGATACGCATGCACACGATGGGTCGGTTGCATTGTGAGAATTGTGTTTACTAAAAAATAAAAAATATGGCCGACTAAATTGGGAAAATGCGGTGTGAATACCAATCAAAAAGTATAAATTACAATTAAACGAAGAAATACCAAGCTCTGATATAGCATAGGGTCCTTCATTGAAGATTAATGACAAAGCTGAAAAAAAAAATGAATCCAATAATTTTATATAATTTCAGATTTCTTGACCACACCACCATATTGTCAGTTGTTTCCACTAAAGATCTAAAAAAAATTTTAAAAACGGGTTTTTTCACTAAAACTGATAATTAATACACTAAGCAACGTTTTCAATGAGTGCAGTATCCTTGACTAATGTAAATCTATATAAATATATAATATGATTATATACATACAAGCAAAATCGTTTTTTCTTGGGTTGAAAATCTTCCGAAAAAATTTGGGGTACTCAATGACGCATGCCAAGTACGATAAAAAATTTTTTTCATAATTTTTTAATTTTCAACAAATTGTTTTTCAATTTTTTCAACATTATGACGGTTTCTTGGTATTATTTTGTATTTCACAACTTTTTGTAGAGAATGAAAATTATTGAAACGAATCTAATTTTTTTGTAAAGTACAAATGTTATTGAGATGAGTTTTATGAACGTCAACTTGGCGCAATTTTTTACAGTGAAACTGTTTTTGTTCAGATATACCTAACCATTCGCATTCGGTGACCTACAATTCTCCTTAAAATTAAAAAAAAAAAAAATTTAATTCAATTGATGCATTTTTTCGCAAGTTATAGTATTTTCAGAGTTTCATACATGACGGACAGGAAAATTTTTTGACCTATTTTGATGTTTTATTTCCGTTTCTAGTGCACTAAATCAATTTTTGAAAATTGTTAAATTAATCTCCATTAAATTATCTTGTCAATAGTATGCAAAATATCTTGATTCCGTCAAATAACAAGACTATAATAATGAAAATAGTTGCCGAAATGAGGCAAAAAAAATTTTTCGATCGTAAAGCACTCTCTGATGCTTCGCATCATGAGTCGTGCAATATTTTAATGTTATATTTTGAAAATTAATTTAGTTATATTATATTGCTCCAAACATTCATTCTCTTGGTTTTAAAATTTTCGGATTCAAATCTTTTTATTTGAGGTTGATAAATATTGTAACTAGATTCAAAAGTATGCAATCTTCAATTGATGTAATTAAATTTTTAGGCTAAGGAATTCTCTACAACTAAAAGTAAGTTTGTGTTTTTTTTTTAAAGTTTTAGATTTTTGTTTTAAAGTATAGTATTTTCTTCGTTCAAAATTTTACCAGTAACAGTTAGAAAATTCAAATCTTCATTAAAAAAAAACAAAGTTTTAGCATCCAAACATCAAAAATATTCAAAATTTTTTCTTAATAATACAGGAAGTTACATTTTGCAATCCTTTGGGCTTAGCAAAATTCTTCAAAAAGTTTAGTATTATTTGCATAAAATATATAGGTATCTGGATTGAAAACAATTAAGTACTTCAGTGAAGAGTAAAATTTTTAAATGGAGAATTTTTCACTCATCTGAAAATAATAATTTATTATTTCCAAAATTAATTTATGGACATAAAAGATATCGGAATATTTCAAAACAGAATTGTAATTTCGAGGAAATTTTTTTAAGCTCTATAATTCGTCATTTATTGTTGAAAATCTTTTTTTTTTCTGTACACGGAAAAGAAAGTGGCTTTAAAATCTCATCAGGTGATCAAAAATTGTATCACCTGTGAACTCAACAGAGGTGAACCTAAATTTACATCACCCGGTGATACAATTTTTGTATCTAATGTATTTTAAATGGAACTAACTTGACTGTTGATATACGTAACCTCAAATCTTTAAATAAATTTTTCAAGACAATATTCTTTTAGCATTGAACATACAAAATCATCGGCCATGTTATTTTCACGTTTTTTTATAACAAATTCTTAATAGATAAAAAAATACATATGACACGAAATATCAACAAGAAATATAACCTACACTGAGAAAAAAAATACTTTTACTTAATTAACAATTTCTTGGTTCAAGAAACTCGCTGACGATCAAATATTCATCGAGATCTGATGAAAATTTGATTTTTGCAAAACGGGGTAAAACCAATAACTTCCCGATTTTTGAAAATCTTAGATTTTTCTTAGAGGAAAGTTAAAAAGTAAATACTAGAAATTCTATTTCTTTTT